TGAGCACGTTCACTACTGATAGCGTGTCTAGTTTCACACAAATAGGCAACTCTGATATCTGAATGGCAATGAATATTCCCTCCATACAAGTACATAACTCTGCTTCGTGTCCTATATTATAATGAAGAAAATAAAAGTTTAATTTCATATGAAGTATTTTAATAACCTTAAGATAAGTATGACTTCATTCTTTATCAATAACTTTGAAACCACAATCTCCCACACTTACAATTTTCAGAGTCCTAGTCTTCTCAAACATTGCATTCATACTTCCTGCCAAGAGAAAGGTCAAAATACCTATTAGAAAAATTAAGGCAGCCTAGAAACACAAATATGAGTTAATCAATACTCGTATTAGTTCAGAAAGTATCATTCTTTCAATAGCCAGTCTCCAACCTTTTATGATTTAGTATGATTGCCACGTTTACTGGAGATGTGGCCAATGTGTTATCTGCTCTCTGATGTCCTGCAAGGCTACTAAAAACAGAGAAATCATTTGCATATAGATAAGTAATTTTATGCAAAAAAATAATGGTTGAAAACTTACTTAAAAATGCAATGCTCCAATTTCGCAAACACTCATTTCTTTTTTTTCCGGGAACACGCATGAGAATTGCATGTAAATATATTAAGAAGGGGAGAGTATATCAACCTAAAGAAGGCCAACAAGAGCAGCAGCGCCACAAAGTTTAAACAACTATAAAACAAAAAGATGACGCAGCCTGCAGCTAAATATCGTTGTCTCTTCAGCAAAAATATTTCCATGAAAAAATCTAGCTATAACTTAGTTTTTTCTATTTATATGTGGCGTGTCGGGTTTTTTTTCAATGAAGAAAATGAACAATGCATTTTCTATATCTCAATTCTTAATCCGCAATTTGTTAGAGCTTCAGTTTTACTCATCGTCCTTAAACTCTTTGTTTTGAATGAAGGGACGAAAGAACCATCTCCAGAACCCTTTCCCTCTTAAACTATATAAAATTTATTTCGGAAATTTTATTTAGTTTGATTTCTAGAACACAGAAGAACATTGGTATAAATCGCTTGCACACCCTGTCCTTGCTGTGCTCTTCTCTCCTCACTCTTCTTTTCACTTACTCGCTGGTCCATGATTAGAGCATCTCCAACAGCCGCGCTAAACTAGCGCCGCGCCGCAAATTAGGCCGTTTTAGCGTGCGCGCAACGCGGCGGGTCGCTCCAGCGGACGCGCAAAAACGGCGCGCGCGCTATAACGGGTTGGGCGCGCGGTCGAAAACACTTAGACGCTCGGTGTATTTCGGGCGCCCGCTGCAGCGCGCGGCACACTCCAGCGCTCGCGCCCGCACTTCCTCTCCCACTTCCACCCCCCGTCCGGCCGCGCCGCCGCCGCCGCCCGCGCCCCCCGGCGACCGTTCAGGCTTCCCCGGCCTATCCCCGTGCGCCCGCGCTTCCGCCCCATCCCCTCCTAGTCCCGCCGGCGCTCGCGCACCTCCGTCGTCCGAGGAACAGCGCCCGAGCGCTCGCTGCCGCGCCGCGCCCGCAAGGTGTTTGACAAAACGCCTACAAGGTATGTATTGCTCAAACTTCATGAATTTGATGCATGTTTTGAATTGTAGTTTTTATAGTATAGTATTGAACATTGTAGATGAGTTCGTCGTATGATTCTTCCGAAGAAGAATTTGATATGGAAGAGGAGGAGGATCTTGCAATGATCCTAGCTATGCATATAAAAAAACCGAAGCACGGTGGTTCGGTTATGGTCGGCAGAAAATTTGGAGGGATAGGATCGATGCCCACAACAGATTGATCAGGCATTATTTTGCGGAGAATCCCATATACCCTGAGTCGTATTTTCATCGCCGGTTTAGGATGAGCACCGAGTTGTTCAGGCGCATTGCAGAGAAACTAGTGAGCCATGACCGTTTTTTTCAGCAAAGGAGGAATGCCGCCGGAGAGCTCAGGCATAGCACCTTTCAGAAGGTGACAACCGCTTTGCGTATGTTGGCATACGCTATACCGGCTGATCTTGTTGATGATCACTTGGCTATGGGTGAGAGCCAAGCCATCATGTGTGTCAAGCGCTTTGCAGTGGGAATTGTGCAAGTGTTTGGCGAGGAGTATTTGAGATCTCCTAATGCTGAAGATGTCGCAAGGCTATTGGCGATGAACAAAGCTCGCGGTTTTTCTGGCATGCTTGGCTCAATAGGTTGCATGCATTGGAGTTGGAAAAATTGTCCAAAGGCATGGCATGGGCAATTCCACGGCAAAAAAAAGGGTTCCACTATAATCCTTGAAGCGGTGGCCGATCAGGAGACTTGGATTTGGCATGCATTCTTTGGAATGCCTGGATCTTTGAATGACATCAATGTTGTCAACCGGTCACCACTGATGAATAAGATTGCAAACGGTGAGTTGCCACCGGTGCAGTTTGTAGCAAATGGCCGTACGTACAACTATGGCTATTATCTAGCGGATGGCATCTATCCAAAGTGGCAAACCTTCGTGAAGCCGTTGAAAAAGCCGGAAGGTAAGAAAAATCTTGACCTCCACAATGCTCATGCGGCGGCTAGAAAAGATGTGGAGAGAGCATTTGAGATTTTGCAAGCCCAATTTGCTATTGTGAGAGGACCGGCTAGATTTTGGGATCAAAAAATGCTTTGGTACATCATGCACGCATGTGTGATCATGCACAACATGATCATCGAGAATGAGCGTGGCCAAGATTTAGACTACTCACAATATGAGCTCTTGGGATATCCCGTGCGAGTGCGACGGAGGGCCGAAAGGGTAGCCCGTTTTATTGTCTCCTATCATGCCATTCGGCGTCCCGCAACGCAAATGAACTTCAGAAATCAATTGAAGAGTGGTGGGCATGACATGGACGACAAAGAGCATGATGATATATGCATTCGACATTGTATTGTTCATGAACTATTTGTTGTGTTTATTGCATTTGTTGTACTGAACGATAAACTATTTGTTTGAGTTGTAATGATAACGAAATTGAACTATTTATTGTTGATTTATTTTGCTTGTTTGATCATTTTTGCTCATAAAATACATGTATATGTGGTTTGTGCGGCGCTCACGTGTTATATTTTTGCGCTCTGCTGGAGCGGCGCGCGCGCTGCATTATAGCGTGGCTGCTGGAGCCAGCGCAGGCGGACGCGCTAAACCAGCCGAAGCGCGCGCGGCAAACAGATTTTTTACGCGCGGCGCTTAACGCGGCTGTTGGAGATGCTCTTAGATGACAAAAACAGAGCCCCTAAATCCCTGATGGATGCGGTGCTGAGCGACTGCACCTGTGTCTCAAGTGTGTGGATGCCTGCGTGGTGGTCGTCGCATTGCGCGATGCAGTGTCCATCATCGGCGCCTGCATGCTGGTTGCCCGTGTGCGACACGTCGTCGCCATTCTCGGCCTGCTTTTGGCGACCGTCCTCCAGGACAGCTGTGACGACGCCCTGGTCGTCATCCGCGGGAACCTTAAAGAGTCCATAGAAGTCCGCGACTCCACGAGGCGTGCGAGTGCTGGACGTCGACCTGCGCCATGCCAAGGCCATCGTGAGCGCTTGCATGTTGGCCGCTAGCATGCACCACATAGTCATCATCGTTGGGCTGCGTGAGGCGGCAATCCTTCGAACGGCATGCTGTGACGTCCATCTGCGACCTCGCCGTCGCCTTGGTGAACGCCGCCCTCCGCGGGCACGCTCGCACGACTCCGTTGCCTTGCTGGATGCCGCCTTTCGCGGGAACGCCACCATTGCCCTATTGGATGCTGCCTTCCGCGGGAACATCACCGTGCGGGTGGACTCCGTCGCCCTACTGGACGCCGTCCTCCGCAAGCAAGCTATCTGTCTTCCCAGTTCCCACAGGTGGATATCTTCCATGGCCATGAGCTTGACGGGGAGGAGAAGAGGTGGACGAAGATGAAAGGCGAAAAGATAGAAGGAGAAGGCGTGCGATCTGAAGTAATTAATGCGGGAATTACAACGGAAGCGGAGGTAGAGGAGCATAGTTGGAAAGAATCGCCCAAATATCCCACGCGCAGATCTCACGCGCAGATCATGGATTATATTTGGCAAAATATTATACCCACAGTAAACGAAATCAGGGGAGTAATTAGTTAGAATTTTTTCCTAAAGAAAAGGTGCGTGAGGATGGTCTGCGGCAGAACATCCAATCTGAACCGTTCGATTGATTGGCAGACCATCGGGACATTAGACTAGCCACAATGGGTAGTAACATGGACTAGTAACATGCTCATGTTATTAGTCTATGTTACTACCTCTATAGTGGGAAGTAACATATGTGTGGTAACATGGAGCCCTTCATTTATTAGGCTATAGACACATTTTGTCTTGATATGTGTGATGTTACTCATACTAGTACTTCCTCCGTCCGGGTGTATAAGTCATTCGCGTAGTTCTAGGTCATCGATTTGAGGAATTAAATATGTGTTATATGTCATGAAAAGTATACCACTAGATTTCCACACGAATGTAGTTTCTAAATATATATTTTTTGTCACATATAATACATATTTAGATAGTTAAATTATCGACTTAGAACTACACGAATGACTTATACACCGGGACGGAGGTAGTAATAACTAGCTATGTTACTACTTTCATCTCTTTCTTTATTTATTGCATGTCACATCACCTATTTAACCTAGATATGTATGATGTTACTATCTATGTTACTCTCATTGTGGGTAGTCTTATGGGTTCTCAAATTTCACTTACTCAATTAGATCTAAGGGCTCTGCTTATTCCATGTACATTTTGTAGTGTGTTTTTAAAAAAAATTCATGTTTGCTCTTTTAATAGTAGTGTAGATGTAGATACCAAGGCGTCCGTAGGTCTAGCCGCCCTCGACACCGTCCTTCTTGTTTCCCCAAAACCCCTTCTTCCGGGGCAGCCCCCGTATTAATCTCGTTTCCCCAAAACCCCATGGACGAGCTCGCCAGCGACCGCCCCGGCCTGCCGCCGCCGCTCCATCTTCCGCATCTCCCGGACAACATGCTCGTGGAGATCCTCCTGCGCCTCCCGCCAGAGCCCATCCACCTCTTCTGCGCCTCCTTCGTCTCCAAGCACTGGCGAAGCCTCGTGCACGACGCCCGATTCCTCCGCCTCTTCCGTGAGTTCCACGTGGGGAACTGGGGATGCCTCCCGTCCTCGGCTTCTTCAGCAACCGGCTGGATCATTCCCTCTTCGTCCCCACCTCCGGCGGCTTCGCGCTCTCCGCCGCCGCCAAGATGTCCCACCGCGACTGGTGGGCCCTCGACTGCCGCCACGGCCGTGCCCTCCTGGAAAAGTTAGGGTCCCGAACGCTCCTCGTCTGGGACCTCGTGACCGGCGACCGGCGCTACCTGCCCCTTCCCCCCGCCTGCAAGCGGAGTGACAACGGCGCGGTTCTCCGCGCGGCCGGCCACGCCGATTGCCATTGCCATCGGTGCCCGTTCCTCGTGGTGTACATGTTCAGACGACGTAATTCTGCTGCAATCTGTGCGTCCGTCTGGTCGTCCGAGACCGGCGTCTGGAGTGAGACCACCTTCATCATTGTACCATATTTATCAGTTGTTCCGGAACCGTCAACTCTGGTTGGGAATAAACTCTACTGGCTGCTGGAAAACTCTGGTATCTTAGAGTATGATTTGGATCATCATGGGCTGGGTCTAATTCACGAGATGCCATACGACGCTCTCTGGGCGGGGAAGTTCCTCCTCATGCCGGCAGAGGATGGACGGCTTGGTTTGGCCGGAGTTGAACGACACAATCTTCATCTGTGGTCACTGATTGCGAGCATTGATGGGCGGGTAACATGGACACATCAAAGGGTAATTGATCTTGGGAATTTCCTCGGGCCAGAAGTGGCGGCGAACTGTATCTATGGAATTGGTTTTGCTCAAGATGCTGGGGTGATCTTCATTCATATGCACGCTACCGTCTATATGATCCATCTCAAGTCCATGCAGATCAAGGAGGTGTCAGAGAAAGGGTTGTACGGCGGCGAACTTCATTACACAAGTTTCTATGCTCCAGGTACTGCCATTGTGTCCAATGTTGGCATTGAGGAGATCAACATTATTATTATTTTTGATAGAGTAGAAAAAAGGCGTCCCTATTCCTTCAATGTATTGTGCACAAAAGAAATAAATATAAATTATTGAATATTTGTTTCAAGATAGATAATCTACAGTGTCTTGATGAATCGTATTAATCTTGTATTACATGTCATTTTGTAGCAAAAGCAAGTGTTTTGTGCAAGGTGAGATATATTATAGTGGTTTCATTGAAGCGTCACCATATCTTATCAGTTCTTTAGCCCAGTTGCCATTGGTTTATTGACTAATTTTTTTCATAGGAATTACCATTGGTGGTGGAGATGATCAAGCTGAAATGTTGAACAACAGTTGAGATGATTGTGCTATCACATCTGCGGCGATGCTTTTGTTGGTAGATGATGTGACGTTCCCTTTTTTTTTGCTTGGATGGCTTGACAATTTTGCCGTGCATATGCAACTGGTCGATATTCTCTCCATGGTAAAGAAGCTGGCATGCTATAGAATACAGTTAGAACCCTGACGCTGTGTTTTAGTTCTGTTCCTCTACCCCTTGGACGGCAACAGCTCTCAGATCGACCTTAATTATTCGGCTTTTCTCTTAGAGCTGGGAAACACTTCCCCCTGTGCCTGCACAATTCATAGCTCATTGTGCTAATGTGCTACCGTGATGCAATTTATCATGTCATACATTTTATATCCCTTTGATCATCAATCAAGAGTTGGAGTATGCATTTCAAAAAATATAATGACCAGAAGGTTTTGGTCCTTCAAACATGAATTCATGCTCCCATTTGTGTGGGTACTAAGAGCATCTCCAGCCGTTCGGCCTCCAGGACGTCGAAAAAGACCTGTCTGGGGCCGAACCGGCGTTTGCTTGTCGCGTGGGGGCGATTGCGTTCCCAGTCATCGCCGTCAGGTCGCTACCAAAATCGCGCAAACTCAGCGATCTAATACGAATCTGGCACAAACTCGGCGATTTTTCATTGAAATTTGTACAAAAACAGAGAAACATACAAACTACGCCTAGCCCTACTACGCCGCGGCCACCACCCGCCTTCTACATGCCGAGGAGCCTGTAGAAACGGGTGTAGTCGCCGCCGTTGTCATCGGCGTCGCACGCCCTGCCGGAGCCGGAGCCGTCCCTACTGCACGCCTGGCCAGGGTCGCCGACGCGCGGGGAGTTGGACGGCCTGGCTTCGTCCTCCTCGTCGCTGTCAAGGACGACGACGCCGCCCTCCTCGCGTCCGCGGCGCCGGGCCTGGAGCTCCACGTACTCCCAGCGCTGGCGCGCCACCTGCTCGCGGACGTAGTCCGCCTTCGCCCCCTTGAGGGCGGTCTCGTCGTCGGTGGCCATCTCCGCATGCTCCGGCTTCACGGGGAGCAGCCCCGGCTCGGTCTTCGGCCGGACCAGGCGGAGGGAGCGCGGGGAGGAGCGGCCGCCCTCTTTGATGACGAGGGCGCCACTGGGGGTGTGGCGACGAAGCGACGTCTCCTCCGGCTCCAGCTTGATGGGGCGGAGCGCCGGCGAGCCGGAGCCCGACGATGAGGAGGTCCCCGGCTCCATTCGCTGCAACGTCCAGGAGCTGTCACGGCGGCGAGAGAATGACGAGCGCAGTGGGTACTAAAGGCGCGGCGTGTTGCCGGTCTCGATGTGGTCGAGGACGGCCTCGAGGGTGCGGCCGGGCATGCCCTACCACTCGCGCCGTCCGTTGGCGTTGAGGCGGCCGCGGGGGATGACGCCGTTGGCGGAGGTGATATGCTCTTCGCGGCGGCGCTCGAAAGTGCATCGTCCACAGCGTGTGGCTGTCGGCGGCGTACCTCGGCTCGTTCCGTTGCGCCTTCGTCAGCAACGAGCGGATGCGGGCAATCTCGGCCCGCCGTTCGGCCCCGGGCTGCACCGGTACCGGGACGCCGACGACGCTCAACTTCCACGAGCCCGGCACCCTCATGTCTGGGGGTGCCAGATAGTCGGCCTCGTAGAGGAGGCGCGCCTCGTCCTCATGGAGATGGCGTCGGCCGAAGCCGTTCGCCGCCGCGGAGTCGCCGGGGTACCGTTCGGCCATTGCTCGTCGGCGAGGAAGAGGGGGGAGAGGCGGCTTCTGTGGGAGACGAGGCGAGAGAAGGCGAGTTGTGGCGACTGATGCATTCACCAACGGGGAGGTCGGCTTTTATAGCCGATTCGGGGGGCGCGTCCTGGACGCCTTCACTGCGCCGCCCGTGAGGCATCAATGGAGGCTGACCGGCGCAGCAGCGCGGCAGTGCGGCAGCCTTGGCATTGATTCCTACGGGAACCGAGGCGATGAGGACGACGAAGCGGCGTCTCGCTGACTCGGCAGGCCCATTCTCGTTCGCGCCAAAATCGCTTTCCCCGGCGCCCCCCAGCGCGCCCGGTTTGGCCTGGGTCTACCGGCGTCAGTTTCGGCCCAAACCGGCGAAATACAGGCTCCTGGGACGCGACTGGGCCGTGTTTTGGGCGCCGGCAGCAAAAAAACGCCTTGGGGGGCCTGTTGGGGGTACGGCTGGAGATGCTCTAAATCTCAACTTTCATTTCAAGAAAAAAGTATAACTGTAAATCAGACGTTTCTTTACCATGCCTTGTGGTGTTTACATGATATTACCCCTACTGTGTACAAAGTTGACCACCATACTGCACATGACTCGTAAGCTTGGTAGTACAGCGTTCACTTTTGGCAGCATATCATTCCTTGGTTCGTTCCAGGTCATTTTTATACTTAGATGTGCAGAGAGACTTGAGAACATGTTTAAGTGGTAGTTACTGTTTTCCTAGTGTTGTTTGAACTTGCAGATATTGTTTTCTCTGAAATTTGTCCCTCAAAAGTAGCCAGAATTGGCTCTGTTTGATGAAGTTGCTCGCTATGCAAGTACCTAGGTCATGTTCTTTGTCTCTGTGGCACTCATGCAAGGTGCTCAATATTTTGCCTGGTGATGTCGTAGCTGTTAGGCGCTTTGTGTGGCTGTAACAAACTTGCAATGCCAAATGTGGCACTAGCTTGCGAAAGAGGATGAGTTTTTTTTTTTTGCGAAATAGGACGAGTTAATCATGCAATGTTATCTTTAGTGATTTCTATAGATGTTATCCGACTGCGACTTGCTAGATATAAAGATATTGTTGACGAGAAGAGTCTGTTCAATTTTTTCATGAATACGCAAAGCTTGCGTATCTTTTATTGATGAGAGAAGTGCATATTTCAATCAACTCTTGCCTTAGTCTAATTTACAAACCCCAAGTCTAATAATGTCTACATTACAACTCCCAACTATTAAAACCGGCCAAGATTCAACCCTCCTCTCCCTTTTTGACTGGTTGACCATCTAATCAACATGTCCAGTCAGCAAGCTACGTCAGCAAAAAATTCAAAATTAAAAAAACTGCAAAAAATCCAAAAATATATAATCAATTTTTTAGAAAAACTATAAAATAAAAATAAAACTTCAAAATTCTGGAAAATTGAAAAAAGTATGTGCCTGTTTTTTGAAAAAGAAAACTCAAAAACAAAGTTCAAAAACTTTTCCTAGATGGTTAGTATTGTTTTCTTGACTTTTTTACAGTTTTTTATTTTTCCTGCATTTTTTATGTGAAAGACTTTTTCTGGAATGTTTGAATTTTTTTTGTGAGGTTGCTTGTTGACTGGATGGTCAACTGATAAAAACCGGTCAATGGGGAAGGGGAGGGTTGAATCCGGATTGGTTTTAAGAGTTCGGAGACGATATTAAAGTTGATAGTTTGTAAATTAGACTATGCTAAGTGTTACAGGTTGAAATATGCACTTCTCTCTTCATTGATAAAAGAAGTTGAAATGAGAATAAAGGGGGTACATCATATGACACAACCAAAGATGGCATAGACATGGTGCCTGGAGCGAAGAGACATGAGATGCTACAACAAAGCGCTAAAGTAGCCTGAACAAGAGAAACAACCCGAGCCGAAACAATATCCCAAGTCTTGAATAGCATCACCGAGTACACCACGAGATGACACCTTCATGAAGGGGAACGATGTTGATGTTGCTGTCGTCTGATCTGAAGAAGCGGATCCAAGGTTTCCCCTATTGCTCGAAGAGGGGCACAGGAAAAGGCCGTGGAACTGTTGTTAGCATCATCAAGCCGAGCAGAGATTTCACGATGTCTAGCATCAACAAGCTGCCATCATAACCTGCAAGTGGATCGGCGGGTTGAATGCGGAGCGCCGAAGTAGGCTTTCGGGCTCCGCCCCCCGTGTGATTGTCGGGTAGGCGGGCGTCTTGTCAGCCCGCCAGTCACATCCGATCTGAATGTGGAGAGGGCTCTCGAGATGACATATATAGAGAGAGAGGCGTTTTGTGTGGGTCCATGTAGCCAGTCCTAGGTCTGGACTTCCCCAAACCTCTCCAATTTGATGCCGGTTTTGCGGGATTTTGGATGCCCGGACCAATCTGGGCAATCATGGTGACTACCGTTGGATGGTTAAATATTTATGCGTGTTTTTGGCGATCCGTGTGTTGCCTTATGGCTCAAACATTGAGAGAAAATATATACAAACTGGGTTTCTTTTGCATAAAACGCCTCAAACAAATGACTCGAGGGCCCATTTAGCAAAAAACACAACCCCATTTACCCTCGCGTGACAAAAAGTCAAAACAAAAGTAACCCCCGGCATGCAATTCCCCAATTCCCAAACCTATGGAGGAGCTCGCTGGCGACCGCCCCGGCCCGCCGCCGCTCTATCTCCCGCTTCCCCCGGACGACCTGCTCCTGGAGATCCTCCTGCGCCTCCCGCCGGAGCCCATCTACCTCTTCCGCGCCTCCTTCGTCTCCAAGCACTGGCGCAGCCTCGTGCACGACGCCCGCTTCCTCCGCCGCTTCCGTGAGTTCCACGGGGGGACGCCTCCCGTCCTCGGCTTCTTCAACAACCAGTTGGAGCATCCCCTCTTCGTCCCCACCTCCGGCGGCTTCGCGCTCTCCACCGCCACGATGTCCCACGACGACTGGTGGGCCCTCGACTGCCGCCACGGCCGAGCCCTCCTGGAAAGGCTCGGATCCGGAAAGCTCCTCGTCTGGGACCTCTTGACCGGCGACGAGCGCCACCTGCCCGCCCCCCCAGCCTGTGACGGGATGTACAACGGTACGGTTCTGTGCGCGGCCGGCCACACCGTCCACGGCGACTGCCGGTCGTGCCCGTTCCTCGTGGTGTACGTGTTCAGTCGAAGTAGTTCTGCTATCTGTGCGTGCGTATTGTCATCCGATACTGGCGTCTGGAGTGAGGTCACCTCCATCGATGTACAATCTTTAGTAGTTGATCCGACACCGTCAGCTCTAGTTGGGAACACACTCTACTGGCTGCTGGAATACAATAATATCTTTGAATATGATTTGGATAATCATAGGTTGGGTCTAACTGCGAAGTTACCAGGCGACACTCTATGTAGCTATCGGGGGCAGGTTGTCATCATGCCGACAGAGGATGGACGTCTTGGTTTGGCCGGAGTCGAAGGACCCAATCTCCATCTGTGGTCACTGCTGACAGGCATTGACGGGCTCGTAACATGGACACATCAAAGGGTCATAGATCTCGAGAATTTTATTGCACCGGAAGTGGTGGCATCATGTATCTATGGAGTTGAGGCGGTTGGTTTTGCTGAAGATGCTGGGGTTATCTTCATTTATGTGCACCCTAGTGTCTATATGATCCATCTCAAGTCCATGCAGATCGAGGAGGTCTCAGAGAAAGGTACCTTTGGCAACGTACTTCCTTACAAAAGCTTCTATGCTCCAGGTACTGCCATCGTCTGCACCAATTTACCAACAAGTCCTTCATGTCTGAGTGGAAGACAACTCTTTCGCAACTAACAAATGTATATGAAATTATGATGCCGTTGCATTCTTACTTGCATATGTTTCTCTTCATCCAGACCCAACATCTACCATTTGTGTGCATCATATTGCATAATGAATTAGTATGTATTGGGGAGAAATCAACTTTTGATGTTCTATCAGTGGTACTTTTAGATCTCTTGTAGATTTCGTCAATACTGCTCCATTTAAAGGTGATTTATTACTATATATACAGTTGAAAGGAAGAGCATAGCTGTTTCTGAGCGCCGATTTATAATTTCTTCTGTCATGGTTGCCCTACTGGTGTTGGATAATATGATCTCACTCACACATGAGAGTTGTGTTGCGTAATAAAATGACGTCGCCACCAATTCATTAGCGAGTCATTGCAAGATTTGTTTCTCTTTCTGTTTAAGCTACTGGATTCAGTTAAGGTATAAATGGTCTGCAGTGTCTTGAGTTGACATTGTAATCTTGTATTACATGTCATTCCTAAAATGTTCCTTATCTTGTAGCAAAATCAAGTGTTTTGTGCAAGGTAAGGTATATAACAGTGGCTTCACTGAAGTGTCACCATCTCTTATCAGGTGTTTTCTTGCCCTATTGCCATTGGTTTACTGACTCATCTTCTCATAGGAACTATAATTGGAAGTCGAGATGATCAAGCTGAAATGTTGAACAACTGTTGAGATGATTGTGTTGTCACATCTGCGGTGATGTTTTGTTGGTTAAAAGAGGTGATGTGACATTTGTCTCACTGTATTTCTGTTGTTCTGCTTGCATGGGTTGATAATTTCCTTGAATCTGCAACGGGTCAATATTCTCTGCAATAGTAAAGAAGCTGCCGTGCTCTACATAATACAGTCAGAACTCTGAGCAATGTGTTTTAGTTCTGCTTCTCTAGCCCTTAGACGTCAACAGCTCTCACAACGACCTTATTCGACTTTTCTTGGAGCTGTGAAACACTTGCCGCTGGGTTTGCACAGTTCATAGTTCATTGTGCTAATGTGCTGCTGTGATGCAGTTTGTCATGTCAGTCATTTTATATATATTTTTTGACAAGTGGACATTTTATATCCTTTTGATGCATAGTTGCATCAGTCGTGAGCTGGGGTCTGCATTTCAGAAAATAGAATGACCAGAAGGTTTCGACCCCTTCAAACATGAAGTCATGCTCCCATATGTGTGGGTTCAGTTAATCTCAACTTGATCATCTTGAGACAAAAGTATACCTGGAAATCAGATGTTTCTTCATCATGCCTTATTATCCCTCGTGTTTACAGGATCTTACCCCTTCTGTATACAAAGTTTACCACCACACATGGTTGGTAGGCTTGGCAGCCTATCGTCGCTGCAGGTCGTTTTTATAGTGAGATGTGCAAAGAGACGTGAGAGCATGTTTAACTAGTAGAAACTGTTTTTCTAGTGCTGTTTGAGCCATCCTGAAGAGTGGTAGCATTTCAGCTTCAGGAACATATCCACACCTGCATGACTAATCAACAGCTAGCACACTCCACACGTGTGTGATCCATCCGACCGACAAAAGCAAAATTTGAATATTTGCTTGATTGCATGAAACATATCCACCGTGGACTAAACATTGTGATCATATTCAACACAAATTAATAGATGTTGAGTGGTAGGAACTCGGATGGCACAGCACCACCATTGTTGGCACAATCAACTCATGATTTCAGCACGCATTCTTATCATATTTTCACTAGATTTTTTCGGACAATCCCAAGGTAAGATTGATTGACGGAGTCAAGAGATGGAGATCTTGGTTTAGCAGCGGCTGCCTGTCCTTTTCTTTCGTGAAAGGTATGATCTAGAGTGTGATTCTGATCCCGTGATTGGGTGCTTGGCGTAGAATGAGTGGAGCATACTAGGAATGCCGAAGGCAAGAGAACATGGCGTCTTTAACTCTCCCAAGTCCTAACGCACATTTCTGGTTGAAAATCTTCTATATCTAAATAGTTAGCCCCCACTAACCTACTTCTCTCCACATGCAAGCATGCCATCACAACATGCAACATACATGAAAAAATGCCCACCTCAACATGAAAGCATTCAAGAGAATTTTCATTCTATTATGTTATTTTTATTAATAAATATTTTACAACTATACAATAACCAAACATTGTAAATATTATGTATGTTTTTAGTTCTCATATTATTACACCGAATTTTCATGTTGCATAAAATCAAATATCACTAAATTCTATTACAAAACATTATCGCAACAACTTTTGGGGTAATGTCATTTAGTTATTAGCAATGGCGACGTCCAAAATGTAGCATCAAAATAGTTTTGCATACAAACTGTTTCCTACACCTTAGGTATCGAAAGATATTTGGCATGAGATATATGTACAACTTATTAATGCCATCTCTAATTTGGTTGTTGGTCATTTCTTCCTCGTCCTTCTTGGGGAATACTGAAGGCTGCACACCATGAGTCACATTATTCGTCTCCTTTCAAATTATTCATCAAAAAATATTTGGGGCAAGAATATGCCATCTCTAATTCGCCTCATGACAATTTCTTGCTCATCTTTCTTGGGGAATTTTGAAGGCGGTGTACCATGAGCAACACATGCGTCACATTCCTCGTCTCCTGTCAGAACTATCTTATTCAAGTTGCGAGATCGCTGCAACACAGATCTTATGAATGTATATTGTTGTTCTATTAACCTAAAGCCGGCGAATTCAAGCTCTTTCAGAATCCTGTTCTTGGAATTGTTGAAGTCCATCTCCCACCAAGGAGTCCTTCTTTTGAAAGTAGAGAAATGATCCCTTAACTTTAAAACCAGCAAAACTTAGTCCCTCTACTTTTAAAACCGGATAAGTTTAGTCCTTCATGTTGTTTTTGATGGTTTTCTGCAGACAACTAGCTTACGTATGCACGTTAATTGATCTAAGCTGATTCCTCTCGGGCCAAAAGCACCGGCCAGTGTTAGCTCTCAACTCACACGCTCAGGTGCACTCTGATGTGAACATCAGCACTTGAGTAGTTTGTGCAGCAAACAACTTGACGCGCTGCTAGACACTTGCAGCGACATGGAACGACATATGGATGCAGCTGTCGGACTCGACTCGCACGGCCTCGACATAAAAATAGTGAGCTCGTGCCCTGCTAACTGAATGAGAAGAAAACGGAAAAAAAATCAAGCGCATCAGGGAGAGCTTGCTTTATACTCAAGCGAGCTAGTACGAGGCTACCTTTGTACAGGAGAATGGCCGTGTGTTGGGCGCTGCTTCGGCCGGAAGGGGTGGCGTCATGGCCGATAGCCACCGCGCAGAGTACCACCCGCAGGGATTAAACTTATCCGGTATTACAAATTGAGGGACTAAACTTATCCGGTTTTGAATATTGAGGGACTAAGATTTACTGGTTTTACAATTGAGGGACCATTTTTATACTATCGAAAAAGTTGAGGGACGAAAAATATACTTATCCCTTTAATGGGCCGGCCTTTGAAGCATCCGTTTGCGTCAACGCATTTAAGGCCCTGCTTGGATTAAATCATTTATTTTCCATTCCAAATACACTTGTAAAAAATACAGTCATCCGCCCGCCTAGAAACTGCTCATAGCCGGTGAGTTACACTTAGAGGGCCGGCCTAACCAGCACTTATCCATCTTCGATGTGCAAGTTCAAAAAGTTTCAGCTCCTAATTCGAACTACACTTAGAGGACAAAAAAGAGAAAATCAGATTTGATGCGCATGTTACCTCGCTCGTTCGCTCTCAGCGACGGCGCAAGCAAGCAGCGACCAACACATTCTTCTTCGATAACCATCCGCATCTTCTCCGCCACAGGTAATTTCCCCAAACCCATCAGGACCAGAGCTCCATCGCTGTCTTCTTCCTGATAATTTCCCCTATGTGAGTTACGAAACCGTATGTGTGCAGGGAACTGACCCCGTGAGCCGCAACTCAACAGGCCCTTGAGTTTCTTGGATCTTTCCTAGCTAGGATGATGCTGGTGCGTCTCCAACGATCGATGCCCCTCCGCCTTGATTACAAGTTCACAGATCACACACGCTATGGTATGAACACAGCTTTGATGCTGAATTGTCAGAATTGACTACATTTAGCCGCGCTTGCAACCAGCGACGTATATTGCCTTCCTGTGCACCAGTGGCTGTCGACTACTAGCACAAGTCACATGAGTCTTGCCCAAGCTTGGGCACCTTCATGTGTCTTTGATGCTGCATCCACAATTTAGTCGCGTTCACAATCGGCGTCGTCCATCGTGTCCATCTTGCCTTCTTGTGCACCACTGGCTGTCAACTACTAACAAGTCAAAAGAGTCTTGCACAAGCTTGTTCCCTGTGTCACCCAAGCACAGGTGGCGTTCCCTCCTCCATTGATGAATTGTACGAATATTGCTAGCTCACATATGATGGGGTTCCAAGAAAAAACAGAGGTCAGCAAGTCTTGCACAGACCTCACAAGTCAGCAAACCTGTATTCAAGATGTTGATGTATGGCACGCACGCAGACCCACCAATTCATGACCAAGTGGAATTCCATGTTCTACTTTTTGACAGATGTATGGTGGCGTGCTTCGCTCGGTTGTTGACAACGCATTCTAGAACTTATTATATGCGTGAAAGTCTTCCGGAGTTCCCACGGGAGATGGCGGGAAAGTCTTCCGGTTGCTCTGCAAATCACATCTTTGATAGGCTTCTAGTAATATACAGTACAGGGTGCTCTGTTCTCTCCCACCTTTTGGGTTCCTCGGCTGCGGCATCGGGGTCTACCTGTACCACCCTGACACGGGTGACCTCGTCGGCCACTGCACGATTAAGTGCACCTCCATGGCGAGCTTGCTCCTCGTGACGGAAGGTGGAGGGATCTGCAACGGCATGGGCTGCTGCACCGTCACTTTCCCCGTGGCGTTCCGAGGGTTTAGGGTGACCATCGTGAAGAACAACGAGACAGTGCCACAGCCTTTTGCTAACATCACCATCAAGGCTTTCTTGTCATTCCGCCCGTATATCTTTAGTAT